AATAGAAAGCGTCTCAATCGATGATTTTTGTAATATCATTGAAATCGAATTCGAGAGTTTAGTATTTACGTATTTAGGTTGTTTAGCTTAGTACTTTCGAACTACAACGATTGCGGGAACGATGACGATTCGGATTGAAAGTTTCCAGTTAAATAATAATGTTTCTTTTTCTATTAAGACAGTTGATTTTTATTTTCTTATTATTAGCGTAACGAAATGTTTAACGAGCATTCACAGCTACTTCATCGTTGCGATAACGTAGATTGCAATACATATATATAGTTAATCCATGGAATCCGAGCAGCATTGGTGAATTAAATGCTCGTACCGCTAATGGCCCTAACGATCGTAATAAAATAGCTGCGTAAAGACATTTGTACGTTTCGCGCTGAAATAAATGGCAAATTGATCTCCCTCGATGTAACTCGACGTTCATATTGCTTTTCACGTTATCGTTTTCATACATTATTCAATAGAACAACGATTGTTTTCCGACTTATAGGTATTTTATTGTGATTCGATGTGAATTATCGTTCGCGCGAAAAATCAATGGTATCGATAGTGACGTCAAATGAAATAGAAGTAACGAAGGAAACTCGGTTACGTCGTCCTTCGATAATCGATCGCACGAGTATAGTTACAATCGACGAAGATTATTCCATATGATCTTGGAAGAAACGCGTCTCGATAGGAATGGGCATGAAACGGATAACGAGCTTAATCTCGTTCATGTCTTCAAATATAAATTGTCATTTTTTTTTTTTTTTTTTATAACGCTATCTTTCTTTGTAACTTGCTCCATTTTTTTTTGTTTTCTTTTTTCTTGAGTTAATTAAGATCAGGGTCAAACACTTTGACACTTATACGTACGCATACATCTTGCGAAAGATGATCGTAGCTCGTTTGTAATTAAAGAGGAAAAATATAAGAAAGTCCGAAAATAAAAGAATAAGAAGAAGGATAGTGCTAGGATCTAGAGGATTTCGTCATTTCCCGTGATACTGCTAATTATTAAGGATGTTTGCACCACCTGAGATTAATGCGTCGGCATCAAGCATACTTCGTATTTATGCTCCGAGCTATAATAAGAAGAAGACACATAGAACAAGAGAAAGAAAGAATGAAAGAACGAAGATATTGCGAGGCAATATTACAAGAGATTAGATCAAACTTTCCAAATCAATTATTATTATTACTTAATTAACGAAATAACGAAATATTATTTTACAAGTCTATAATCATAGATATTCGTTTTTCCTTTCTTTCGTTTCTTTCTATTATAGATTACGATCTACGATTTAACATAAGCTTAAAGAAACATATTCTTTTAAGTGTTTTCTTTTACCTTTCCAAAAGATGTTTAAATTTATGTATTAAAACGATGATCTTAACTTCTCTCAATTGAAGATACGATCGCGTGGACTTCGTTCGTTCGAGGTCAAGCACATATTGCGATCGTAAAGTTTGTACTCGATTCACATTTCATTTGCATAAGATAACTTGTCTCTATGGAGAGCAAAAAGATCTCACGATTTCTTAGCAATTCGTTGTCGTTTGCCGTACTGTGTACTGTAAGCCTTGAGAAGAAAAAATCATCTCATAAAAATGATCAACATAGTTTACTTTCCCCGTGAAATCGATCTCTCCGTATCGTGATCATCAGTATCGTTCTTGAAATATTATTTTGCATACTCGTTCAGCATGATAATGGATGAAGAGTACACCTTACTCGTTATTAAGTATACTATGCTATCTAATCGAGTATAAACACATAGAATGATAGTTGTGGGTGTGTTGTTAGATCGAACGAGATTGATCTAACATACGACGTGATCGTATCGTAGTTGCATCAGTAAGATCATTGCATCTTTCATCGTGTCCTGTCTACGAACACGACCAGTTACAGTTTACACATCCTACTATAGTCGACTTAATTCTCGATAGGATTCTCGAAAGATCTAAAATATCGATGAACACCGCCAAGAGTAATAATAATAATAATAATAACATAGCTTTTAAAATATATACGGGTTTAAAAAAGAATCAAAGACCGAACTTATACTCCAGCTGATTTATATTTGTCGATAAATTCATGTAATCGAAAAGTTTCAATGATTTATGATAGGTATGCATATGGTTAATTTTCAACTGGAAGGTCAGATTTTTTCCAGACTAACGTAAGTCATTATAACATAAATTGTCATTGTCATAGCTCAAGGATGAAAATAAGAGAAGGTCAGATACAAAGAAGAAACCAATCGAATTTCGTAGACTGAAGCGAGAATTGTATGATTCATTACCGTGCATACAGAAGGTATAGTAACGGTATAGATGTATGTACATATACACATGAACATTTAAGAAATAAAAGATTTGCACTCAGTGACGTGTCACTCTTCATTTTGAATAAGAACTCTTTCTTTACCATCACTCCTTGAGTCATATTCTTTTCGAACATGTAGCATAGAAGAAGAATGTACAACAATTTGATCACATTATTACGTTTCGTTCACGTATTCGTTCGAGAACAAATAGTTCAAAGTTTCCAATCTCATGGTAGTTTATTAAATCGTTTTTTCTTCCACGTTCAATTTCATTTAGAAAAGAAAGGAGAATGAAAGATCGAAAAACGCTGCCGTGTGGTTAAATCTAAGAATTCATTTCATTATCAAATGACGGAATTCGTTGCATATTTAAAAGGACAACGAGTTTACCTTCTCGATTACAGTGGTTAGACTCCCGATCAGACCGGTTTGATCGAAAGAATTACGAAGAAGGTGGCAATGTGGGTATCTTACGTCCGGTCGATAATTAATGACACAATTAAAAAGTATGCATACTATGTTATTTGGTGCGAAGGATGATCGTTCATCGTTTTCATTCTCGAAAAGGAACATTTTCATCGATCAATCTGAAATAGGAAGAAAATATTCACTGATCTCGATTATCTTTTATCTTTATCACCATCTCCTGTTCTCGTTACTTTTTTCTCTTTTTTTCTTTTTTCTTATGTTAGCCTCGAAACGTTGAAATATTCTTAACGTTGTTGCAGGAGAGCAACGAAAGTGACCCAACGAACGAACGTAGAGCTCGACTTTTACGAGTTAGAGAGACCGCTCTGGTAATCGTAGTAGTCCTATAGCCACCCGTTAAGCAACGCAAAACGTATTCGAGCACTGCCGACTCGGGAGGATCGCTGAGAAGTTGTTGCGAAACGCGACGAACGAATTATGTCCAACGAGCGAGGATAATGATCTCGAGTGCAATAATGTTTCATCTTGCATAGCGAACGAGGCGCGGACAGTGATTCGAATGGGCTTTCCTGGCCAAACGTCACTCTTCGATATTCTATTATGGCTCCTAAGTTTAAGCGTTTAAGAAACGTCAAGTATTAAAGTACTTACGAGTTTACCAGTCAAATATTTTAATAACCTATCGGTCAGGGGTTCTCAAATTTTTTCAATTTTGTACTACTTATGTATATATATGTATAAAAATCAAAAATTATATACCGCTATACCAGAATTTCCTCATTAAAAATTAAATGAAGCGTTTATAATCAATGAATAAAATATTTGTAATTTATAATATTTGGAAAAAATGAAAATACATTTTTCTGAATATTTATTTCAATATTTTGTGTAAAAATTGTCTCATCAAAATATAACATGCTGTACCATTAGTGGTATATCTTAATTTGAGAAACAATGCTTTAAGAGATTACTCAAGCTTGAGTTTATTGGACGGTTCCGGTCAAGTGAACTTATTTTTAAAGAGAATTTTTCTCGTCAATTCCTTGATTAGATTAAATCAAATCTCAAAAAAATGATTAAGATTCTAGTTTTTTTTTTTTTCTATCGTTTTTGCAGAGACCGGTCTGATTTCTGGCCTTGAACAGCCCAACTTCAATTATAATTCATGCATGATTGTGTATATCGATCAATATTGCCATCGATAAGGCGAGTACGATAAGTCGATAGGAACTATCTAGTTAGTTGCCTCAAATACGTTATAAATTATTCTCCGTGTAACGTAGTATTTTTCTTTTTTTTTTTTCACCCAACCGTCGGCTGCTTTTATCATGCATATTTCTAATAAATTGTGGATATCTTATCGGTGGATCACTACGATACGCGAGATACAACGTAGCTACTGCTCTTTTGTAAGAGAACATGATTGTACTTTTAACGGGGTACTGGTAAATACTCGTAAAGAAGTAGTAGGGGTTTGATAATAGATCGATGACAACTTCATTGTTCGTCCGATGAAAGGAGAAAGGAAAAAGTGTCCATAAACGAGTAGTATATTGTAGGATGCGTAGCGGTATAATCATTATACTTTATTTACGACGAATATATATATGTGCTCGTACAAATAAGCGCACGTATAACTTCTCAGTATTCTGCGAAATTACCTGTATAAATTGTTCTTGACATTTCCTATGATATTTTAATGCAATAGGAGAACCATTGTTTCATGGCCCATCCTTAAAATCTGAAGTTAAACGTACTCTCATTATTGTTGAACTAACTGTACTGTAAAAGGCATCGTAGAAAGTTATTTCCACGTCTTCCGTGAAATTATGCATAAGCGGCGGAGGTTGTTTGAGAATTCTGTAACGTTTCAATAATTTCAAATATTTCGTCGTTTATTTTCTACGATAATATTTCGACATAATCTTTAACATACTTCGAAGTATTTAAAATAAATCTCTCTTTCTTTTTATTCATAATAATTTGCTTAATTTATATAAATGATAGAGTAAGATTGAAGAAACTTCGAGAAAACTCTAATACTTATGTTGTAGAACATTTGTACAATTTCTTTTGACAATGACAATAGGATAATTGCAGTAGTATCGTTTGTATAGTACGCGATGGTGGGTTTTATGATGCTCACAGTTCCATGGAATCCCCCTTCCAGAAGAAGTGCTTTCCTGCGCGCCGTATAAAACCGGTGAAAGCGCCGGTCGGCCCTCCAGACTACCGCACAGTCCGACAGCGACAGGAGCTCTACCGTGGATTCCATGAGACATACTTAGATTCATTAACAATTATATACGTGATAAAGAAAACAACGTGATTCGTAAAAAAAAAAAGAATAATAATCGAAAATACAACAAATTCCTAATCAAAGAAACATTGGACGTGCAGCATTCGTGTCATTCATTAACGCGCGATTTTTGTGATTAGGCTAGCTTAGATCAGGTGTGTCATCATGAAGACTATCCTTTCGAGGACTTTGATTGTCGCTTTGATCCTTGGGACAGGAGTGTTGGGATATCCACCGCAGGAGAGACTTATGCCAGGTAGGCGAAGGATGCATCGTTATTTTGTAAATTATTATCGCGATTATGTCTTTTTTGCTTATTTTCTTTTTTATTTTTTTTTTATTTTTTATAATTATAGCATAATTATTATCACTTCTCTGAAATGGAAATAAAACTTTCGTGATAAAGTCATTTCGTAGTCGTATAAGTAAAGAAAAGATGGAATATAAATTATTTTATTTATCGATCAATAATCAAGTAAAATGACATTCGTAAAATAAATTTTACAAAATATTTAGTTATTCGTTTTCTCGGTTTAATGAAAACGCACGATCGGCAGCATTGGATCGTTTACCAGCGTCGATTCTTAACTCATACGTTGTCGATGATTTAAAGTTCACGGTTACAACTTGCACAACGTGCTTCTATAGTTCAAAGTCTAACGAACGGCTTATTTTGTTAGGATTTACGATTCGTCAATTTGTAAATTATATTTACGATTGATCCTCAATGTCTCGTATTCATAAATTACAAGGATTATTCAAGGTAATAAATGTGTTCGTTGAATAAAAATTCATCTTCTTTTTAAATGAATATTTTCTATTTTGTCTTTTTTTGCACGCTTCCTTCAATTTCATTACTTTAACGAAAGTAGAACGCTTCCTTTTACCAAATGGATAATTTTAGTAATCACAGAGAATGTAATTTCGCTAACACGAAACGTGTCAGTATTCAAAACTGCAGTAGTTTAACTATCTCGTAGATATCACGTTTTAAACCCTCCGTATGATCTTTGCAATCTCAGCAATTGATGAAACCAACAGTGTTCTTTCACTTTCCTTAGCCACACCTTGCGAATATTTCATTTCACGTTAGTTAATGAATAATTAGCGAAAGTTCCTTACGATCTCAAAGATCGAGATTGAAAAATTTAAACGTAATGCGTGTACGTATTCACTTTTTTTTAAATTTTTCTTTTTTTCTTTTTTATCATGTTTCTTAAAATCTTTCTTGCAACATCTATTTATTAATGCAATGGAGCTCACATTTCACCGTATATGTACACAACTGCTATAGAATTGAACATCGAAAGGGAAGAATTTCTTCTAGGATAGGCTTGAATCGGGATACCATTGATCGTCGGTAATACACGGTAATGAGGAATCCATCTCGATGCAGTGCACCTAATTGCTCTGATTGTACCGTCATCAAGGAAGGTTAAAAATCCTTACGTAGAAATAGAATCTATTACCGACTCATAACATCGAAATTGGTAGACTCATCGGATCAGCAGTTTACTAGATTTCCTTGATAGATTTTTTGATGTAAAAAATAAAAGAAACGATACAAAAAAATAATTAAAAACAAAAAAATTTCCTTCACTTATTTACGGTTGTTGCAACAACGACGTATTACCACTTTAAAAATATAGATAAAAAAAAGGGGGAAATTATGATTAACCTTCTCATATTTCAAAAAAAAAATTCTTCCAACATTCGCTCTTTGGCGTTTCGTTGTTCATTGCTGCTGCTATTCAACTCTTCTATACTTACTTTCTCAAAGGAAGATAATGGTTCTATCGTGATCGGAGCCACACGGAGAAATGTGAAGGTCTTTCGAGCGCAGCACGTGAACGTACGAGATGATAGGCGAAGGAAACTCGTGAGTTAACACACGCGTAGAACTCGAACAATCTTCTTCCCACAATCGCTAGCACTAAAGAAATGTCAACGTTAAAGGAAGGATATACTATCTAAGTGGTACATTGGCTGGAAGGTGTGAATAACTGACTTTGTGACGACGATGTGGAGTAATAATTGAGAAAATAATAATAATAATATTAATAACTGTTTAGAGTTTCTTAGACAAGTGAGAATACTGGAATCACGTGTGGCACGTGAGTACACGTGCTATTGCACGTGCTGTTTTTAAGGTCGCGGTGTACCCGATTGAAGAGAGAGAGCTATGAACAAGAATGAAAAAAGACATATAGACAGAGAAAATAAGAAAGAAAGATATTAACGTTGTTAAATCGAAGGAAAAGTCACGTGCTTGCTTGTTGACTCGGCCGACCGTTTTAAATCACGAGACTATCATCTTGTCAATTAACAACGAAGATCGTCCTCTTTACCTGCTATACATCCGTGATATGGTTCTTAAAGGCCATGATAAACTCATTTGTACCTCTAACATTTTCATATTTAATATATGATATGTCTAGGAAATGTACACGTGACTTTCATATTTATGGTATAATATTTTAAGTATATATCATTTGCAAAACTATACAATTATTTGATCTTCTTAAATTTGTTTATGATTATTTTTATACGTAGCATGATCGATGTCATTGACACTGAACGAGCGTAGAATCATCGACTCATACAAAAACTACGCATACGAAGAACTTTTGAATGCTGCTGGTTCATCGATCTTCGCTTCGGAGAAAGTGTGTAAGAAATGACAGGATAATATTGCAATGTTTAAATATAGCGATATTCTCATCATAGTGTAGCCAAGAAAAAGTTCGTACAAACATTACTTGAACTATCTCTTCGTCATTGACACTGATTTTATTCCTCGTTCTCGCACGTGAGATAATTAACTGGTTTTACATAGCGACTTCGATAATTATGAGGGCGTGAAATATGTTTTTTACGACATTCGTTCATATATTTATTTCAAGATTTTACCCTCATGAATATGTTTTTCGATCAAGGCATGTGGAATGTAATACGAAATTCTGTAAAACGTTCATTATCTTTTAAACGAAGTTATTCCAATCGAAATACTTGAAGGGTTTCTAATTAATTAAATACGAAAAGACCATTTCAGGAGAATCTCGTAAAATGTTGATTCATATTTTCGAAACATTTTGCTTTTTCTAATGATCTACCCGTATGTAATTATTTATAAGAAATATTTCATATTAATTCCATATTTATTTGTCAGTTTCAGTATCTTAGCAAATGGTCGAGTTTCGCCAGTTTTTCGTAGCCACTTTGTAAATTCAAGTTAGGTGGAATTCATAGAAATTCTCGTTAATTAACCCAATCGAACAGGCAGGCATTGTTTTTACGAGAGAGAATAGAAAGGACAGAAACGTGACCGGTCTTCTTGTCCAAGTCCAGATTTTTCGTGGCTCGCTCGTTTGTCGTAGATAATTCTCTTGGGAGTATTCGATATAGAAGAAAGCAGAAAAAAAAAAAAAAGAAAAACAGAAAAAAAGCAGGAAAAATTCGTGCTAATGCTATCGTCGTGGGAATCGTATTGATTCAAACGTCAACTTTTGAACGACAGTTTCAAGCGTCCAAAGTGTTATTAAAGTCCGTGGGGCGTATGTTAATTAGTGGCAAAACGCGACAGCATAAGAGAACATATAGTAACCCCCTGGAGATTCGAATCCACATTCGAGTCAAGCAATTAACAGTTGTCGAGTCGTTAAATCGTATCACGTTTTATACGCTGATCTATCTCGTTGTTTCTAAATTCGTTAGAAAGAGAATGATAGAAAGATGGGGGTGAAATGGTTAGATATACGCCCGGTTTTAATAAACTTTTTTGATTATTTCATAAACAGAAACATTCTTTCTGACCAATTATGAACCATATATTATCTAATGTTCTCCAATAAATCGCTAAAGGCAATGCTCTTTCTTTCCTTCGGGTCTTTTTTTTTTTTTTTATCTTTTTTCGAGTAAGAAAAAAGTAAAAAAAAAAAGAGAAAACACGCGCATAACGCGTATTATATCTTGTCAAAGTTGGTAACAATGATACTCTAATGCAATATTTTAAAAATCTACGCTCGTATTTTCTCATTAAAAAGAAAATTGTTCCTAAGTTGAAAGTGCTATAGCAACATACACATTCACACAAATATACATTTATTATATCTGGATATATTCTCGCAAGAGTAGTTTAACCCTCGTGTTCCGTAATGCATTGAGAATGAAATACATAAGTTTGAAATTCACGGATAAGAAATGGTAAATCGAGTCGAGCATTTTTAGTAATTAAATAGACTTGGAGGCTTAGTACGAACTCTAATGATTTTCGTATATCACGGTAAAAGGCATAAGATTATTACGAGATAACTGATGTATTACATGATCTATCATGCATCCACGTAATCCACGTGGTTGTTTCTACCCTCGGGAGTCGAGAAATCCAATAGACGTATGTGGGACAACGAAGCTATCATTCTTTCTCTTTCTATCACGTTTCAGTGAACGTGTCTTAGATTCCTAGCGGCTTCCGACGTTAGATCAACCTCAATCTTAACGTTCTACTACTGTCCGGTAGTTTTTAGATTAAGGCTTTCGGGGGAATATTTAACGACAACTTCGAGGTGAGAATGTTCGTAAATGTTAGTCAGTATACCATTTGATAGTATTAGATATATATACATTTACGATTGGTCGCCTAAGCTGAGTTCAATTCGCGCCATATAAAAGCACCTTCCCCCTTTCATACACCATTATACAGAATTCACGTGCTCGAGAGCGTGGCGGCCGGTGCACCGTTCGATGCACGTGACGCACGGTGCAACGTGGTCACGTGCTCACGCAAGCCACCGGCCTTTGCTTGTGTTCTATAGTTCTCGAAAGGGAACGCGATAACGTCGCGACGGGTTAACCGCGGAACGCTAAGTGTTTCCTTCCTTTTCCGACTAGTAGCTGCTAAAGATTTCTTATTATTATTATTTTTCTTTTACTTTTATTTTTATTGTTTTATTGTTTTGCTTTTTTTTTTTTTTTTGCTTTTTTCTTCTCTTTTTATACTCTCATAAATCTTCAATCATGAAACATGACCGTGATTACTGCGACATATATTTGTCTATATAGAAATATTTATTATACTTATAGTTTTATTTGATATAATACGCTATAGTATTATAGTAGTGAAGATAAATATTTGATTATTAAAAAGAAAATTGTTTTCAAGTTAGACGTACTGCATATGCTGTTTAATTATAAATAATATTAAGATTAATTAGAAAATTATATAGAATAAATTAAATGATATATTTTTTTTATTTT